GGTGGGGCACCGGGTGAACCTGCAGATGGTCTACGACGGGCCCCTGTGCCGCATGGCCGCCTGAGCGCCGGCCCCACAATAAAAGCTCCTTCACCCGCCGGGGACCCGTGTCTGTGCTGGGGGGGGGTGGGAGGGAGCTGGTATGGAAGGTTGGGGGGGTCCTACACAGCCTGCACCCCCACAAACAACCGCGGAGCCTACCGGTCCCGGCGGCCGCCATGTTGGCTCCTTCCTCAGCGCCCGCCATGGCGGCTCCTTCTTCACGGCCACCTTCCCGCCTTTTTGCTTCCGGCCTTCTGATTGGTCCCCCGTCAGCCCAGCCGGGCGCTGATTGGTGGCTATCGCCGCGGACGCCCCGCCCACTTTACCTCAGCGCTGCGGAGGCCCCGCCCACTTTACCTCAGCGCTCCGGGGCCCCTTCACCGAGCTCCGGTCGCTTCCCGGTGGCTCCGTTCCGGTCTCGTCCCCGTCCCCCCCCCCATTCCCGACCCCCAGGTCCGGGAATGTCACGGAAGGAACGGGAAAGCTCCGAGCTGGAGGCCGGCGCCAGCCCCGCCGTGGCAGGGGTGGGCAGGGATGAGCCCCCCGGTGAGGACGCTGACAGGTAACGGCGTTAACACCGCCGGGGCCTCATGGGTTCGGCTTCAGTTGCGTTCCTGATTAACGAGAGCACCAATTCGGGGCTCTTTGAGCACCACTTCCACCATAGGCACCATCTGGGGACCCACTGACACCCAGTTCCCCCATAGGCACCAGTTTGGGGCCCATTGACCCCCACTTCCACCATAGGCACCATCTGGGGACCCACTGACACCCAATTCCCCCATAGGCACCAGTTTGGGGCCCATTGACCCCTACTTCCACCACAGGCACCAGTCTGGGGACCATTGACCCCCACTTCCACCATAGGCACTGGTTTGGGGCGCACTGACCCTCACTTCCTCCATAGGCACCACTTTGGGGTCCATTGACCCGCTTTCCCCCATAGGCACTGTTTTGGGGGCCCATTCACTCCCAGTTCCCCCATAGGCACTATTTTGGGGGCCCATTGACCCCCACTTCCCCCATAGGCACCAGTTTGGAGGCCCATTCACTCCCAGTTCCCCCATAGGCACTATTTTGGGGGCCCATTGACCCCCACTTCCTCCATAGGCACCAGTCTGGGGCCCATTGACCCCCACTTCCCCCATAGAAACCAGTGCTGCCCCTCACATGTGGGTCTGTGTTTGGGCTGAGGGTGGAGCCGGTGCCCGGGGCAGAGGCAGCGCTGGATGCTCCGTCCTCCCGGTACTTTGCCGCCCTGGATGCCAGCGTTGGGGACCTGCAGCACCGCGCTCAGCACCTCATTGACAGCGTGAACAGCAGCAGGAAGGAGGATCACAACGTGATGAGCACCTTCCGAGAGAGCCTCCTGCTCAAGGTGGGGGGGCTGATGGGAGGGGGGAGACCCCTGACCCACACAGCGGCTGCTCCATGTGCTTAATCCCATTATTCCACACGGATTGGCAGCAGGACGAAGTCCCAGCTGCAGAGCCTGGTGTGCCATGTGTTGTATGTGGTGGGGAGGTGGGAGGGGGGAGCACCCCCAAACCCTCCGGGTACGGCCCCAGCTGCCTCCAGCCCCGCTTTGGGGCACGCAGAGGAGGCCGATGGCCAACGAACCCCCCCCAAGGGATGGAGCATTTCCCATCCTTGGAGCAACGTCCTCGCTCAGCTGCCTCCCACATTGGCCTTTGCAGCCCCACAGCCGCGGGCAGGGGTTGCACAGGGGCTCCCCCAGGCCCATGGGCAGATGGGGGCTCAGCTGCAGCCCATGGTGACCCGGTGGCAATGGCTTTGGCTCCGGTGCGCAGCCACAGCTGCCACCTCCTCCTGAGAGGCAGAAGCCCCTCCTGAGCCCTTGGAAGAGCCGGTTTCCCCCCCCTCTTTTTGCCCCAGGTTTCAGGCCTGGCGGAGCAGCTGGAGGAGCGGCTCTTCCACCTCTATGGCATCCACAACGAGCTCATCCAGGAGCGCCTGCAGGAGCTGGCCGAGGTGATGGAGAGGGTGGGGGAGGCCGCGGCCGAGCTCCGTCAGGTCTGCCGCACCGTGGAGGCTGCTTACCGGGACCTCTGCCTGCAGCCCGAGACCTGAGCAGGGTCCCCACAAGTAGGGGCCGAGCTGCTCCCCTTGGAGCTGCCCCAAAGTGGGATACAGGGGGGTTTTGCCCCCTACCACCACCCCAAAAAAAAAGGGCTTTGCTGTTGCTGTTTGGGTTTAGCACCAATAAAAGGAGCCAAACCCATGTGGTTGGGGTGACGCTGGGGAGAAAGGATGGGATCCAGAGGGACCTGGAGATGTGGGACCATGAGGACCTCATGGAGATCACCAAGGCTGGGGCAATCCCTGGCTCCGGGGTGGGTGAAGTGATGCTGAGCACCCCAAAGGGGTGAGGAGGAGCTCAACGTGAGCCATGGCCAAGGAGGGGATCCTGCCCCTTTCCACTGGTCCCATTTGGCTACCATGTCCAGCTCCGGTGTCCTCAACGTTCAGGAGGCCACAGAGCTTCATTAGTGCTGATGAGGCTGCTGCTAATGAGCAGAGGGGGCATTTATTGGCCAGGAGGAGCCATGAGGGTGGCCACAGCACCCATTGCTGACAGTGGTTTCTGTCTATGATGTGACAGCTTGTCCTGTGGGTGACACTGGGTCCGGTCACCGCTTGTGCCGGTGATACCGGGGCTGGTTGGTGCCACCAGGTCCGGTTGGTGACACTGGGTCCGGTTGCTGTCAGGTTGTGCCAGTGCCACCAGGGTTGGTAACAGTAGGTCCGGTTGGTGACACCATGTCTGGTTGGTGACACCAGGTCCAATTGGTGACACTGGGTCCGGTTGCTGTCAGGTTGTGCCAGTGCCACCAGGTCCGGTTGGTGACACCAATTCCAGTTGGTGACACCAGGTCCAGTTGGTGGCACTGGGTTCAGTTGCTGTCAGGTTGTGCCAGTGCCACCAGGGTTGGTAACAGCAGGTCCGGTTGGTGACACCGTGTCTTGTTGGTGACACCAGGTCCAATTGGTGACACTGGGTCCGGTTGCTGTCAGGTTGTGCTGGTGACACCAGGTCCGGTTGGTGACACCAGGTCCGGTTGCTGTCAGGTTGTGCCAGTGCCACCAGGGTTGGTTGGTAACACCAATTCCAGTTGGTGACACCAGGTCCAGTTGGGGGCACTGGGTTCAGTTGCTGTCAGGTTGTGCCAGTGCCACCAGGTCCGGTTGGTGACACCAATTCCAGTTGGTGACACCAGGTCCAGTTGGTGGCACTGGGTTCAGTTGCTGTCAGGTTGTGCTGGTGACACCAGGGTTGGTTGGTAACACCAGGTCCAGTTGGTGACACCAGGTCCAGTTGGTGGCACTGGGTTCAGTTGCTGTCAGGTTGTGCTGGTGACACCAGGGTTGGTTGGTAACACCAATTCCAGTTGGTGACACCAGGTTCAGTTGGTGACACTGGGTTCAGTTGCTGTCAGGTTGTGCTGGTGACACCAGGGTTGGTTGGTGACAGCAGGTCCAGTTGGTGACACCAGGTCCAGTTGGTGACACTGGGTTCAGTTGCTGTCAGGTTGTGCTGGTGACACCAGGGTTGGTTGGTGACACCAGGTCCAGTTGGTGACACCAGGTCCAGTTGGTGGCACTGGGTTCAGTTGCTGTCAGGTTGTGCTGGTGACACCAGGGTTGGTTGGTGACACCAGGTCCAGTTGGTGACACCAGGTCCAGTTGGTGGCACTGGGTTCAGTTGCTGCCAGGTTGTGCTGGTGACACCAGGGTTGGTTGGTGACATCAGGGTTGGTTGGTAACACCAGGTCCAGTTGGTGGCACTGGGTTCAGTTGCTGTCAGGTTGTGCTGGTGACACCAGTGTTGGTTGGTGACACCAGGTCCAGTTGGTGACACCAGGTCCAGTTGGTGGCACTGGGTTCAGTTGCTGTCAGGTTGTGCTGGTGACACCAGGGTTGGTTGGTAACACCAGGTCCAGTTGGTGGCACTGGGTTCAGTTGCTGTCACGTTGTGCCGATGCCACCAGGTCCGGTTGGTGCCACCGGATCCGGTTGCAGTCAGGTTGTGCCGGTGCCACCAGGTCCAGTTCCCAGCACCATCCCCTCCTGTCCTCCACCGCCGGTGACACCGTGGTCCCGCTGGTGACACCGTGACCCCCTCCCGGTGCCATCCTGGCCCCGCTGTGGCCCCATCAGCTCCGCGGTGCCGGGGGGGCGAATGCCTGGATGCCGGTGATGGCCCGGCCCAGGATGAGCGCGTGGATGTCGTGGGTGCCTGTGGGGGGGGGGGGAAGTGTCACAGTGCGTCCTGTCCCCCGCCATCCCATAATATCCCCCCCCCGGTCCCTTTGGCACCTTCATAGGTGTTGACAGCCTCCAGGTTGAGGAGGTGACGGATGACGTGGAACTCGTCGCAGACCCCGTTGCCCCCCAGCATGTCCCGTGCCTCCCGCGCGATGCTCAGCGCCTTCCCGCACGAGTTCCGCTTCAGCATCGACACCATCTCGGGGGCTGCCCTATGGGGACAAAGACATCGATGGCCCCTCCTTGGGCCACCCCCTTTTGGGGTTTGTGTCATTGTCCCCGGCCCCCTCTGCCCCATAGCACCCACCGGCCCTCGTCCTTGAGGCGCCCGAGGCGAAGGCAGGCTTGGAGCCCCAATGCGATCTCGGTCACCATGTCTGCCAGCTTCTTCTGCACCAACTGGTTCCGTGCCAGCGGGCCCCCAAACTGGTGCCTATGGGGAAAGTGGGGGTCAGTGGGCCCCTAAACTGGTGCCTATGGGGGAAGTGGGGGTCAATGGACCCCCAAAATGGTGCCTATGGGGGAAGTGGGGGTCAATGGGCCCCCAAACTGGTGCCTATCAGGGACGTAGGGGTCAATGGGCCCCCAAACTGGTGCCTATGGGGGAAGTGGGGATCCATAGGCCCCCAAACTGGTGCCTGTGGGGGAAGTGGGGGTCAATGGGCCCCCAAACTGCTGCCTATGGAGGAAGTGGGGGTCAATGGGCCCCCAAACTGGTGCCTATGGTGGAAGTGGGGGTCAATGGACCCCCAAAATGGTGCCTATGGGGGAAGTGGGGGTCAATGGGCCCCCAAACTGGTGCCTGTGGTGGAAGTGGGGGTCAATGGACCCCCAAACTGGTGCCTATGGGGGAAGTGGGGGTCAATGGGCCCCCAAACTGGTGCCTGTGGTGGAAGTGGGGGTCAATGGACCCCCAAACTGGTGCCTGTGGTGGAAGTGGGGGTCAATGGGTCCCTAAACTGGTGCCTATGGTGGAAAGGGGGTCTTTGGGGGGCAGGACCCCCCCTTTTGGGGTGCGGATGGGGGTACCTGTCCAGGACGTATTGACGTGCCGTCTCCAAACAGGCCTCAGCAGCACCCAGAGCCCCCCAGGCGATGCCGTAGCGCGCATGGGTGAGGCAGCCAAAGGGACCCTATAGGGTAATGTAGGAGCACCCCAAAGTTCTATAGGGTGCCATAAGGCCCCTCCATAACCATATAGACTGACCCCCCCCCAACCCCTATAGGTCCATATAGAACCTCCCCCAAACGCTATAGACTGATGTAGGTCCAATATAGACTGACAATATAAGCCCTATAGAATGACATAAGACCCCTCCAAAACCCTATAGGTGGTGTCTTATGTCTGTTACTGGGTTTTGTGGGGTCCTATGTTGGTTCATAGGGTTTTGAGGGGGTCACCTATCGGTCTATAGGGTTTTGAGGGGGTGCTATGTCAGTCGATAGGTACTTAAGGGGGTCCTGTATCGGTCTATAGGGTTTTGGAGGGGTCCTATAGGGGTCTATCGGGGTTTGAGGGGTCTTATGTTGGCCTATAGGCTTTTGGGGAATTCCTGTATCAGTCTGTATAGGACCTATATCGGCCTATAGGGCTTTGGGTGGGTCCTATATGGGTCTAAAGGATTGAGGGGGGGGTCATATAGACCCTAGAGATCGACATAAGACCCCCCCAAACCCCTGTATACTGATATAGGCCCCCCCAAAACCCCTACAGACCAATATAGGTCCTATAGAGCCCCGTAGAGTACACCCCCCACCCCCTATAGACTGATATAGGACCCCCAAACCCCTATAGACCAATATAGGCCCCATAGAGCCCCATAGAGGACATCCCCCCCAAATCCCTATAGACCAATATAGGCCCCATAGAGCCCCATAGACGACATCCCCCCAAAACCCTACAAACCAATACAGGACCTCCAACCCCCTATAGACCACAATAGGACCCCCAACCCCCTAAAGACAACAATAGGAGCCCCAAACCCCTACAGACCGTTATAGGCCCCATAGAGCCCCATAGAGGACATCCCCCCAACCCCCTGTAGACCACAGTAGGACCCACAAACCCCTACAGACCGCTATAGGCCCCATAGAGGACATCCCCCCCAACCCCCTATAGACCATAATAGGACCCCCAACCCCCTACAGACCGCTATAGGCCCCATAGAGGACATCCCCCCAAACCCCTACAGACCAATATAGGACCCCCAACCCCCTATAGACCAATATAGGTCCCATAGAGCCCCATAGAGGACATCCCCCCAACCCCCTATAGACCAATATAGGTCCCATAGAGCCCCATAGAGGACATCCCCCCAAACCCCTATAGACCAATATAGGCCCCATAGAGCCCCATAGAGGACATCCCCCCAAACCCCTATAGACTGCTATAGGCCCCATAGAGCCCCATAGAGGACATCCCCCCAAACCCCTATAGACTGCTATAGGCCCCATAGAGCTCCATAGACAACATCCCCCCAACCCCCTATAGACCACAATAGGACCCCCAAACCCCTATAGACCACAATAGGACCCCCAACCCCCTGAAGACAACAATAGGACCCCCAAACCCCTACAGACCGCTATAGGCCCCATAGAGCTCCATAGACGACATCCCCCCAACCCCCTATAGACCACAATAGGACCCCCAAACCCCTATAGACCACAATAGGACCCCCAAACCCCTATAGACCACAATAGGACCCCCAACCCCCTGAAGACAACAATAGGACCCCCAAACCCCTACAGACCGCTATAGGCCCCATAGAGCCCCATAGATGACATCCCCCCAAACCCCTATAGATTGCTATAGGCCCCATAGAGGACATCCCCCCAAACCCCTATAGACCACAATAGGACCCCCAACCCCCTATAGACAACAATAGGACCCCCAAACCCCTACAGACCGCTATAGGCCCCATAGAGGACATCCCCCCAACCCCCTACAGACCAATACAGGACCCCCAAACCCCCATAGACCGCTATAGGCCCCATAGAGCCCCCAAGACCCCCCCCTCTCACCGCCAGCCCCACGGCGCCGGGCAGCACGTTCTCCTCGGGCACCTCCACGTCGTCCATGAGGATCATGCCCGTGGCCGAGGCCCGCAGCGAGAACTTGCCCTGGATGCCGGGGGTGCTGAGCCCCCCGCGGCCCCGCTCCACCAGGAAGCCCCGCACGCGCCCGTCCTGCTCGCACACGGCCCACACCAGGCACAGGTCAGCCACCGGAGCGTTCGTGATCCTGGGGGGGGGGGAAATGGGGGGGTTGGGGTCGTTTGAGGGGGGTTTGGGGTGGATTTGGGGGGGTTAGGGGTCATTTGGGGTGGATTTGCGGGGGTTTGGGGGGGTTGGGGTGGATTTGGGGGGGGTTTTGGGGTGGATTTGGGGGGGTTTGGGGTTTTGGGGTGGATTTGCGGGGCTTTGGGGTGGATTTGGGGGGTTAGGGGTCATTTGGGGTGGATTTGCGGGGGGTTTGGGGTCATTTGGGGTGGATTTGGGGGGGTTTGGGGTGGATTTGCGGGGGTTTGGGGGGGGTTGGGGTGGATTTGGGGGGGTTAGGGGTCATTTGGGGGGGGTTGGGGTTTGGGGTGGATTTGCGGGGGTTTGGGGGGTTTGGGGTGGATTTGGGGGGGGTTAGGGGTCATTTGGGGTGGATTTGCAGGGGGTTTGGGGTGGATTTGCGGGGGTTTGGGGTGGATTTGGGGGGGTTAGGGGTCATTTGGGGTGGATTTGCGGGGGGGGGGGTTAGGGGTCATTTGGGGTGGATTTGTGGGGGTTTGGGGTGGATTTGCGGGGGTTTGGGGTGGATTTGGAGGGGTTAGGGGTCATTTGGGGTGGATTTGGGGGTGTTAGGGGTCATTTGGGGTGGATTTGCGGGGGTTTGGGGGGGGTTGGGGTGGATTTGGGGGGGGTTGGGGGGGTTGGGGTGGATTTGGGGGGGTTTGGGGTCATTTGGGGTGGATTTGCGGGGGTTTGGGGGGGGTTTGGGTGGATTTGGGGGGGTTTGGGGTCATTTGGGGGGGATTTGCGGGGGTTTGGGGTGGATTTGGAGGGGTTAGGGGTCATTTGGGGTGGATTTGCGGGGCTTTGGGTGGGTTGGGGGGGGTTGGGGTCATTTGGGGTGGATTTGAGGGGGTTTGGGGTGGATTTGCCGGGGGTGAGCGGTCATTTGGGGTGGATTTGCGGGGCTTTGGGGGGGGTTGGGGTGGATTTGGAGGGGTTTAGGGGTCATTTGGGGTGGATTTGCGGGGGTTTGGGGTGGATTTGCAGGGCTTTGTGTGGGTTTGGGGGGGTTAGGGGGGGTGGGGGGGTTTGGGGTCATTTGGGGTGGATTTGTGGGGGTTTGGGGTGGATTTGCCGGGGTTTGGTGTGGATTTGGGGGGGGTTAGGGGTCATTTGGGGGGGTTTGGGGTGGATTTACGGGGGTTTGGGGTGGATTTGGAGGGGTTTAGGGGTCATTTGGGGGGGTTTGGGGTGGATTTCCGGGGGTTGGGGGAGGGTTGGGGTGGATTTGGGGGGGGTTGGGGGATTTGGGGGGTTGTGGTCGTTTGGGGTGGATTTGCAGGGGTTAGGGGGGTAGGGGGGTGGAGAGGGTTTAGATTGGTTTGGGGGGGTTTGGAGTGGATTGGGGGGGTTGGGGGGTGGGGGAGTGGAGAGGGTTTGATTGGTTTGGGGGGTTTGGAGTGGGTTGGGGGGGTTTAGCGGGGGTTGGGGGGATTTAGGGGGGTTCAGGGGGTTTAGGGGGGTGGAGGGGGTTTGGAGTGGTTTGGGGGGGGCTTGGAGTGGGTTTGGGGGGG